ACAGTATTCCAATTATCCAAGAGAAACTATAGGTCCACCCACGGTCACCGCTGTCCGAGGACCATTTTTCGAGTAAAGAAAAAACGACAGTTCGCACTCGCTACGACAGTATCGCGAGGATATCTCAGGCCATACAAAAATACGACTGCCCTAGATCCGGCGCCTCTGTCCGCTTGGAGGCATCGAAGAGTAGGGCAGCTCAAGACTTGACTTGACACAGTTCGACAACACGGAAGCGGTTCTTGGACCTTCAGTTTTCGGTCTCCGTCGCTGGAGCAGAGAATTGGTCGAGCTGTCCAGGTCCGCTCGCCACGTGTGGAGAGGTACAACTAGTGACATCATCGAGGCCGGCTGGATCAGGCATGATTACAGCCATCTTGAGTAAAAGTAAGTTGAAGTACGGTGTTTCAACCCCTTGATCTGTCAAGAGGGACCTAAATAAAATATAGCCCTGCAGTCATCACCATGATGAGTGCGGTATTTCAGAACACGCTTGTCCCATTTACCTTAAATCGCAAGCCAAATTAAGTTATAAGTTTCCATAAATATTCATGTAGCGTACGGGATGAGTTTTCGGTAAAATGGAGTGCCCACTGTCAGCTGAAGAAGAAAGTAAAGTGTGCGTAGTTTTACTGGGAAATGCAATGAGCAGCATTCAGGCAGTTCAGCTCTGGTTGTGCCAGTCATCTGCGCTGTCCACGGCCTTTGATCTTCTTGACTTGGTCATGGCACTAGGCCCAGTGGGGAGAGAGAGGCTGTGATGTATGCAACGCACCCACGACACTGTGAACATCATCGGATACGACGTTCAAAATGTCGTAATATAATAAAGCAAATTATGACGAAGGGTGGGAGGAGTGAGAATGTAACAGGAGACGGTGCGTACGGCCCAGGTGTGGAAACAAGTGGTGACAAAGGAAGCGACCGCCATCTGCCAGGGGGTATATAATTGGTAGAGGGGGTGCAGGTGTTAGAGGAACTAATAATTGCTGAAGCAAGTGAATGTAACAGGGGAATCCGGTAGCAAACAACGTGCAGCATAAACAAGACAGAAGGCATGCAGACGAGAGGGAGAAGCGAACGAGGCAAAGTATTCTAAAGTTATAAACAATTAGTTGATGTGACTAGTGCAACAAAGTAACAAATAATCATTCTAACCGCTTCCTGCTTATGCAAACCGGGCACTGAAGAAAGTGCGTACAACTAACTACGAATGCTGCACACGTCGACATGACGGGATGTCATAAATTCTTGGAAACCCCTCTCAGTATTGGCCAGCGCATAACGGTTATGGATGAAAAGAAACACAACATCCTTAATCGCATGCACTTCCTCAGCCTTGGAGCTGGTCCCGGCACAAAGGGGATTGCGAAAAATGCTGTTTGCCGAAACAAAACTAATACGGCTGTTGATAGTTATCAAGCTTGGTTAAATGTTTTCAAGGTGTGGATATTTGAAGCGCCTGGAAAGGGGTTTTCTGGGGACGGTGCGAACTGTCCTTAAGGTGGTTAACGGCTACTCTGCACAGCGACGGCCCACTGGCGAAGAGTAACCTTCAATGACGGTTGCACCGTTACCTTGCCCAAGTTTAAGAACGTCATTTTTGAGACTTTTTCCAATCAGTCAATTTCATAAAATGACAATTTCTTACGGTGCACTTTTATATGACTACGCTTGAAAATGATCATTTACAAATTATCCGCGCATTTCTTCCCTGATG